ACCCACTGCAGGGTGACTTCTCATGTTCTCTCTCACTGTCTCTGTCTCTCCTGCTTATGCCCTATGGGAGAAACCGAAGAAGAAGAAAGAAGAAGGAAGAAGGAAGAAAGAAGAGAGAAGAGAGAAAAGAGAAGAGAGAAGAAAGAAGAATAGAAGCTTCGTTGAAGCAGGAGATTTAAACCCCTGGCTGGAACTTCAGCTCCTACCTCCAGCCAAGCTATCACTGAAGCCTCTGGGGCTCTCCAGACTGGGAGGCCTTTTGAACTCTCACACAGCTCTAGAGGCAGGTTCTTCCACAGGGCGTCCTACTCGCCCTACCGGGAAGCTAGTGCAAAGCAGTGTAGAAAAACGCATGGGTGCTCCAGGTGAAGGGGAAAGGTGAGGGGGGCAGGCTGGGCAGAGGAGGAGCAGCTGGCTAGAGCCTTGCCGAGCTCAGCCCTCCTTTCCTGGAGAGGAAACAGATTTGCTGGTTCGAACAGCCCAGGCCCAAGCCTACACCCCCAACAGGCCGGCCAGAGCCCTGGGCCCCTCTCTGCTCCTGGCCTGGACTAGGGCCATGTGCCCGCACTCACCCAAGAGAACATGGACCCTGTACCCGAATGTGTTGCGTGGTACTCTGTGGGGCCCTTCCAGAGCATTCTGAGGGAAACCGCCTTCCCGGTGGGTAGGCTGGGCCCAGGGAGTGTGGGACCGGTCCTCAGGAGTCCCACAGGCGGACATGTGGCAGATAACTCGCACCGCTCCTGGGCTTCCTGACACATCCTGCAGCTGCGCTGTCTGCAGGGAGGTGAGAGGGTGGGCACCATGCTTGCCCCACCTGTGTGTGTGTGTGTGTGGGGGGGGTTGTATGATACTGTGCTCACTAGAATGCCTGGAGACCCTTGCTGGTCCGTACTCTCTGAGCGTCTTCTTGAATTGAGGAACACCCAGGAGAGGCCTCTAGGCAGGGTGGTCTACATCAGAGCCCAAGAAGAGGAGATGACGCTGAAGCCACCGGGGCCTTGCTCATTCTTCAGGACTCCCCACCTTGGGCCTTGAATTCTGTTTTTTCCCACATGCGTTCCTTTCCCCCATTTTCATTCCCTGTGTTTCTTTCCCTGTCTTCCTCATATCTTCATGCTCACCCTATCACCCCCTCCCTTATTCTTTCCCTCTTCCCCCCTGCTCCTCTTCTCCCACCCACGCCTAGCAAGGCTGACAGATGGCTCTCAGCGCGAAGCCCAGGCTACACGCTGACAGTCTCTCCTTGTGCAGGGAGCCCAGTCAGCCAGGACATAGGAAGGGTCCTTGAAAAGTTCATGGGAAATATGAAGACCTATGCATGAATTTCAAAAATATTTTGCATCAAAATAAACTTGTACTTTACATTTTCCCATGAACTCTCTGAAGTCCCCACTTCTAAGTACCTGTAAAGTGTGGCGGTGGCAGGGATTGTGGGAAAGACAAGGTTCCCACCTTCAGTGCACTTAGAATCTAGAAAGTTGGGGAGACGGGGCACACGAGAGGGTAACTACCACGTCAAAGCAGAGGGCAGTGCAGTGCTTCCGGACTCCGAATCCAAGGCATGTTGGGTGTGGCTGAGTGACATCACTCCAAGGGTAAAGGCTACCACACTGCCTTGGGGAGGGGGAAGAAGTGCTAGGTGCCCGGGGCTGGAAGGTGGCGTGGTGGTTAAGGACGCTGACCGTGGTTCAAGTCCTGGACTTGGCAGCTTGCTTTCTCACTTTCCCTCTCCCTCTCCCTCTGGTCTCTCTCTGGTCAAATTAAAATAAATAAGTAAACCTAAGTAAAATAATT